AAGGAGTGACTTCACTCAGTAAGATTTAACGTATTACATCACTGGAAAATTCTCTGCAGCAATTTGCATTTGCAGAAAATCACCATAAACCAATGGTCAAAATACAATACAACCCTAAAACAACAGTTGCTACAACTTTTGTATCAAGGTGTTTATGGACATATACAGGGCAGTATAAGCAATGCAAAAGAGGTGTGTTTCATAAATTTAATGTAGAAATACAACCTTTGCTGGAGTCCAAAGAGACGTCAGATTTTATGACAGTGTTTGGCAGAATGAGACGTACTTTGAAGCAAACCATCTTTAAGTTAATTTGGTATTTCATTGGACATAGGCACGAAGAGACTCCTTTATGAGGATTATTCTCTTCATCGGTTGCATCGGTTGTTTTGATGCATCAGATTTTTACTGGTCAATAAAATCCAGCGTCTGTTCATGTGGATTTACCAGAAGACATTACTGATAATGCCATGCTCTAACAGCCTCATATATTCGTCATGTTGTATTTTTCTTTTGACCAAGTAATCACACTAAGACTACCTGGTCCAAAAAAAGACCAATAAATAAACAGAACTATGGGATAAAAGTACACATCACACAATGTGAAGAACCAATCCATCTAACAATTCTGTATTTAGGATTTTGTACACCATCTTAAACTAGGACCAACATTTTTTTGAACAACAGAAAGTCGTTTAACAAATAGATCTTAATTACAACTTTCTAAAGTCGATACAAATAAAGTTAACAGTCTGTCACTGAGTATTAGATGGGCAGATGATGTGACAAATGCAAAGTAAAGAGCAGTTACAAGGCCTCTGAAACAGCACTGAAGGTTTACAGCATGTCGGCATATTAACATTATTACAAGAACTAGATATCGAGTGTTAAGAAAGTACCCTTTCATTCCAGTGAAGATTCACTGTCCCATCACACATCCTTGAAAAGTATACAATATGCAGTTGGCCAGCAATACACATTAGCAGCAGGAGTGATTCTTCCACACTGTTAAATCTGTGAAGATTAAAATTAACAACACTTTCCCTCCGTATTTTTTTTCCAAGAGGGCAGGAATTGAAGCAGTTTTGGTTAATTGAGCAGTCTAATATCTCGTGTCACCTACAAATAGTTTATAGTAGCTTGCGGGTCTACTCCTACTGCAAATACCATGTCTATTTCATGTTATGAAACACAGACTGATCACAATTACTGTGACAAAATAGATATTTAACATACCTCATGACAGACCTTCTTCTGTAATGTAGCACAGCACCAAGTGTACAGGAGCTGAATTTCATAGGTGTTGAAATAAGTTACCAAGCTAAGCTAATAAGCTTCATCAATTCAAGAATTTAAAAAGAAGATGCAGTCTTGTGGGGATTCATCAATACTGAAAGTATTCAGACTACAGTACATGATGCATTCACCCTTTAAAAAAATAAAAACAAACAAACAAAAAACTCCACTAACCAGAGCCTTTACATTTTTCATCTATAGAGCACATGACTTTTGTAGGTCTGTCACGTAACCAGCCTCACTGACACTCGCTTTTATTGGATAACAGCTGGCTTCTCATCCATTAGGGTCCTAAACGCTAAACATGAAGAAATCCAAATAAAAACTAATCTTAGCTGCATTCTTTGCACATTCAAATTGTTTGCTGACAACAGTATTAACTGTTGGAATATCAGATAGCGATAATGCTGATATGGATGTGTGATGTTTAAAAATGTTGTGTTCAGTGTAGCTTTGTCCATTTAATTTTAACACCTCTTTGCAAATTCAACCTTCTCAGATTTGGTTATGAGTGAGCGCTACTTCATGATGGGAACTTATTTACTCCAGTATGATATGCACATCACATTAACATTGTCTGAATAAAAGAAAGTAGCTTAATAGCTTAAGGTCTTGCAAGACACTGGATGTTTTAAAGGGACAAATTTTCTAAAATCACAAATTCTACACCATCAACAAGCGGGCTTGTTTGGAGACCAGCTGTTAAATTAACATTTGTAGGCTACATAGCTATGGACTGTTTCAGTAGGTACATCGATGAACATTGACTTCCAAGAGACGATCAATGACTGCAAAGGAACTGCCTACTGAGAAGCTGTTTTATGCCATTTCATGTACATTAGCTACAATATGATCACAGCTTATATTTCTTAGAATTTAATTTTTGAATAACATGCAAAAGCTCTTTTAATATGTATGTCATTTAACTATACACCAACAGACCTGGGGTCTTTGCTACAAAGCAAGTTTGATGTACCTAGGATGTCAGGATATTTTAACCCAGGGGTTCATCAATCTGGCTAAGAGCACATTCACATGAAAGGGTTGGTGCTGGCATCATCTGACCAATCACAAACATGGAAAATTCTACTGCAGCAGAGCATCTGGAAGACATAACTATCATATTAGAATAATACAATAGTGACAGGATGACTGTGAGAGGGGGAAATCGCTGTATAAATGTGTCGCTTCTTGAATTGCTTTGGTCAGTAAAATCTGTGAATACCTTTCATGTTAATAAAATTGGGCATATTTAAAGCCAATAAGGAAAGCTAGCAGAAATGCTGATTGTATGGGCTAAGTTAACAGGCTTACCAATATCACCGCTCTATTGGTCTGAAAGTAAAATTTCAGTTTTCATTATTTCAGTTGCAGTCATGTTGCTATTTGAATGAGTAAACAGAATAAATATAAAAACAGAATTCAAGGGTACACGCCAATTTGATATTAGGTCTA